TGTAAGACTCAGATTATATAATATACAGCTTATTTTGTTTTATATGTAACAAAAGTATAGTATAGTTTTATAATTCATATACAACACTAATTTTAAAGAATGGACTTCGTTAACATAACTACAGATGTTACATTACATACAATACATTTATTAATCCACAATTTTGGATAGAATTCATCATGAAAAATATGTAACTAAAATAAAAACCGGAGTCCCAATATCATTAAAACTAAGTCATTATTGGAATGGATTTGACATAATTATCGCTTGTCAATTCTTTTTATGCCACATAGAATATTTAACCGGTTAATATCTCATCTATGGAAAATGGTAACCATTGCTTTTCCAACCGACGTCCAAAAGAATATCTCAATACGATTGTAATTTTTTATGTTTGTTACCTAACTTTAACTCCGTCAGTTGTAAGCCGATTTAGAATTTTTTTTTATCTGAAATCCTTTCAGATTCAGTAGTTTAGTTTTTCAAATTAAAATATTAAAATTCGCTTTTCCACAATTGAAGTCGGTTTTTTATGGAACGCAATCTTAATGACATTACAGAATAGCACCATAATACGGCTCATGCGCTGTCAAAAATGAAGACTAAAGTAAACCTCCATAAATAGGTAGCCTGTAATTTTACAGTCATGTCATGCCACCCTTCAGACTTAAATCATCATCATCGGTTCAGCTTTCCCCATAAGAGCAGTTTAGCTAGTAATTACATGCTAAGTAGGCGGATTGGCAACCACTATCAAATATTACAAACAAAATTTAATTGTTAATCTATATTTTCTCATTATAACCTGCATATTTATAGCTATTTCCACATATATTATACCATACCATAGAATTATTGATCAATGTTATTACTCTCTCAATGGTACCGTCAAATTGTGTCAAGGAAAATAAGTAATTTGTAACAATTAAATTACATCGCGAAACTATTTTAATTACCTACCTAAGAACCATAACAAAATTATACTTACCATACCATATCAACCGGTAACTGTCCACTGCTGAACATAGGCCTACCTCATTTAGGGAGCTTTTGCCAGTAGTTGTCATGTTTGGCAATTGTAGTTAGGCTTTTGGTAATGTATTGTTGGAGACGCTGCTACTCATGCCTCGATTATAAAGTTTCCTCGGTCGCCTCTTACGACACAGGAAAGGAAGGGGTGGCCCATTCTATGCTGGGATCACAGGACATCAAAAATCATACTTAAATAATATCAATTCCATATGAATATCCCAATTACTATGCTATTTGAAATATAGAGCAACAATCTAAGTTAAACTTTTATTATAATAAATATGTATAAATAAACAATGAAGTAATCTCCCGAATGAATATCCTGAACTTAGGATTCATAAAATTATTTATTTGGACTGAAATGTGACAAATTTTGAAATTTATTATATAAACTGGTCCTAAAACTCTATGAGTATATAATATCACGTAGTTTCTTTCTAAACAGCTCCATAAATACTCCAGAATCAACTTCACGTACCTAATGATACACCCACATCTACAATACAAAAAAAAGCATTTCAATAATCCTATTACAATAAGTATTATTAGGAAACTCATGAAATACCTTTTTTCGGCATTTATGTTAACTTACTTAAACTTTTAGTGCAAAATTAAATATATCCAGTCCTAAGTCTTTGTCTTTGTCCTTGTCTATTCTTTGTCCGATTATTTACCTACGTTTAGTTTAATTCAAAGTAATGTCATAAGAATAAGGAACTGACTAGAGGCGAGTAATATATACTCGTATAAGACACTTTATAATATGTTAATTAATAAATATTACTATAGCTTAAATGAATATATTAATCTATACTTATAATAAATCTGTAGAGAGGTCAATTCTGTACATGATGATATATTTCGAAAATAACTATCAGGGGGTGATTAGTGATCGATACTGATGCCATAAATGCAATCAGTAAAATTTTTGTCAGTCTGTCTGTATATTCGTTATAGAAACAAAAACTACTCGACGGATTTTAACGAAACTTGGTACAATTATTTTTCATACTCCTGGGCAGGTTATAGTATACTTTTCATTACGCTACGATCAATAGCAGTAGAGCAGTGAAGGGAAATGTTAGGAAAACAGGAAAAGTTACTCTATTTTTAAGCTTACGTTAAATCACCCGCTGATAGTTATTTTGGAAATATATTTCATGTACAGAATTGACCTCTCTACAGATTTATTATAAATATAGATGGAAGATTATCAAGAATGCATTAATACTTTTTTTACATTAGTATTGATGTTATTTTACGCAAACATAATATTTACACATGTAATTCATTTACATAGTAAAGTCAACCTTTCCTTATTATCTTCCGTAATATAATTTAATATCTTTACCTTTACATTCCTGTCCGTATTAGTAAATATATAAGCACCTATTGTGATGCTTTAACAAGGATCAATTATAACGATAATAGTATATATATAAATATCAAAAACGACCCATTATCTTTACTACTGTTTTGGGTAGAACCTCTACAAGGATACGTTAACTGCAACCAGGTGTATAAACAATAATAAAACAAGTTTACACTTAACGTTATGCCCCTTAATAACGTAACAATGATGTTAATTTTCCACCAAATCAAGTGATTCGTTTAATTAAACCGACGGACAGACAGATTCGCTTTCCCATTTTAATTTTAATACTTTTTATTTTAGTAGTAATAGATACCTGTTATAACAACATAAAATATAATAATTGACAATATAAACGAATGTTTTTATGCGTGTTTTGTCCTGTGATTCTGGCATAGAATGGATCACTTCTTCCTTTCCTGCGATTATCGTAATAGGCGACTAAAGGAATTGAATACCAGAGGAAGACTTTGTACAAAAGTCGATTGCTTGGGTACCTCTGTCAAATTCGTGTTTCAACCGTGAAGCAGTTGTGTTTGCATTGCTGTGTTTCAGTTTGAAGGGTGGGATATGGCGTGAATTTACTGGGTACAGAGGAATAACACCTGAGTCCTCAGGAATGGCAACGCATGGGGGGTATCATGGGCGAAACAGTATACTCTGTTATGTCCATGGTACTGTTCATGTCTATAGGCGACGGTTACCATTTTCCATCAGGTGGGCCGTCAGCTTGTTTGCCATTCAAAGTTGTATAAAAAAAAGAATAGTTAAGGAATAGACAGCAGCGTTCCTCTTAATACATCACTAAATGCCCAACTCCGATTGCCAAGCATGACAAGTACTGGCAAATCTTATATGATCATAACGATGGACAACTGGTCATCATATAAAAGACAATGTACTTAAAAAAATGTAGTATCATAAAAATTTGCCCATGGATTTGAAGTCAAAAAGTCAATGTTTAACAATTTATTAACAGAAGAGCTGTGAATACTCAAAACAAATAATCAACTTATGAACTGTCCAATGACGCAATTAAACGTGAAATGTTTACATATATTATTTACGGTACTTACTTGAGTACGAAGCTCTACCGTAAAGTACTTAAAAAATTGTGTAATGTTGATGATATGTAGATATTAATGTATAAATGTATGTATATGTCACTAAAACTAAATCTTAAGTTTTACAAGTAAGTCTTAGCATTTACCAATGTGAGTTGGTAAATGAAAGGGTTTTATAAAAACAAAATCTTTTTTTTTTTATTTTTCACTAAGCCAAACCTAACCTAACCTACCCTTCTAGCCATGAGCACGAACGTCACACACTAAACATGCCTAAATTATGTCTAGTACTATAAAGAAAAAAAAAAGAAAAAATTACAAAGGTGAGGTTAGATTTGGTTTGATGAAAGATACAAAAATGATCTTGTTTTTATAAAATCCTCACATTTACCGACTCACATTGGTAAATCCTAAAATTTACTAGTAAAACTTAAGTTTTACAAATGTATGGGCTTTTGCAGTAACATATTAAAGAGACTATTGTCTGCCAGCTTTTACTGGCGATTTGTTATTAAGATATGTTTACTGGCCAGTATAAAAAGTAGATTATATCCTTCTCCATCCCATATAGTACGTGTATACAAAATTTCAGTGATTTGTTAAGCCGTTAAAGTACTATAAAATAACAAATAAACGAACAAACTCACTTTCACATTTATTATATTAATAAATATTAGGCTGCTCCAAATGTACAATACTTATAGCTCATGAGACTTGTCATACATTACCTATATATACGTAATAATACAGAAAATATATTTTATTATTTTTATATTATATTTATTTATTATTAATATATCAGCCTGTCTGTCCACTTAACTGTCCACTGCTCAACATAGGCCTTTTACATTAGAGAAGTCATATTAGGCACTTAAAGTATCAAATCCCGTATATTACGTGTATAATTTAATAAAAAGAAAATTAATATATCCGAGCATACATTGATACTCTGGCGATATTTTCTCGGTTTATTCACTAATGTTTATAAAAAAATCCTCTACTCGGTCATAGACGTAGTATAACGTATTCACGTATGTCAATTATGACTTTAAACGAGGTTCACAGATGTACTATCTACGTTGTAGATTACTTTTATTAAAACATAATTCATATGAGCAAAGCAGCGGACTAGATAGATTGTATTATTAACATAATATGCTTAAAGTCATTTCATCTTCTTTTAATAACTTCGTTAATACGACATTTAAATGACATTATTGTTGTAAATTATTGTAACATTTGTTTGATTAAAATATTTTTGTGATGATAAAAAATTCTAAGTAGATTTTAAGTTAATTTTAATTTTTTGAAGGGTAATTACTACAAAGAAATTAATATTTTTTTATATTATTAATCCGTTCTGATTATTAATTATAATTATTCACGTTTTTTTTTAATTATAATCTTAACTACTATTTTTAAACAACTTTGGTAACTTTATATATTCTATGTTCAAACAGTAAGAAGTATTTACAGATTATAAGCTACATAGTATATTTTTAATAGCTTTATAATTAATATTGCCCACTCACCATTTTGTTTAATTTGTATGTAAATGATAATCGAAAACAAAAACACTATTCACGGAACTAAACAATCACTAAGATCACTTTTATTCACTGAGCACTGTCGCCGGTTTGATTCCACCGAATCGTCACTTCCTTAGCCTCGCGTTGCTGCTGTAAAAAAAAATAAAAGTGTTAGTGAAAGTGAACGTGCCTGTTGCCTGTCGTTGTTTTGCGAGATGATTTCGGCAACATTATCCATTAAGTCTTTTGTTGGTTGTTGCTAAATGATCAATGTCACAGTTCGTTGACTCTTTCATAATAAATGACAATTAGAAATTTGAGGTAAAGTAATTATTTTAAAAGACTAATAGCTCATTTGGAAAATATTATTAATTACTATATATTATTATTAGGTAGTATAAGTGCACTTACAGAGTAGGAATTTTAGCATTATATGTGTATCACTATATAAAGAAAAGACCTAGTTCTTTTTATAATTTTATAATTAGTATATGATTTATTATGATTTTAAAACATACGTTTCATTATATAACTTTTATTTGATAGAATAAATTACATTTGTAACATTAAATACGAGTACTATGCGATGACTACAGATCGATATATTTCCAAAGAAAACTGCAGCTCTAATGATTGTAGTGCATATTTGTAGTACTAATATTAGGATATATCTATCCCACTCTTAAGCGATTGCTTAAAGATTCCTTAATCCTGCTAACTGACATATACCAGCAGGACAGTTGAACAGCCAAGTAGCCTAATCTTAATTTAGAAACATTTTTTCATTACAAAAATTTATTTTGGAACTGCTAAAATTTTTTCCAGTGTTACCTAATCAGAAATGCAAACTAAATAGCCATATAAGGTCAAGTAATAGAAAAAAATCATTGTTTCAGTCCTGATATTCAGTAATTTGTTTTGTAAAACCAGAGAATTTTTTTTTTAAGTGATAATTAGAAATGCAAAATAACCTTATCATCATTTCAGCCATTATTCGTCTACTGCTGGACATAAGCCTCCCTTATAAGGTGCCATAAATAACCTTATAGAGCCTACCTATTAAAAAAAACTATTTTTCACTTTAATTTTTAGGGTCAGAATTTTAAAACTTCAATTTTTCTTGATAAGTTCTAAAATTCTGACAGGTAGTAAAATGAAGAAAAATCAAGAAATGCAACGTAACCTTATAGTGGTACATATTTCAAAATAATTATTACAGTTCTGATTTTAAGCGCTTTTGATTTTGGAATAATAGTCTTATTTTTTTTTTTCTGTTCCAATGAAGAAGTTTAGTATTTGTAAGTAAAAATAGTATCTACTTTATTAACATTTGTACAACTCATAAATATTTAGTAAAGAAACGTTTTACAGGACAAAGTGGTCCAACCAATTCTTGAATCATAAAAATCATTTCACAATAATTAATTACCATCAGAATAGCCGGTTGTTATTACGGGCAGAAATTAACAAACTCTTAATTGGAACTTTTTAATTTCTGCATTTTATATCATTCAACAATTACTAACTTTTGCCTGCGACTCTGTCCGCATAATGTAATGTAACGAGATAAAACGCATTCTCCTGCATGCCATGTCGTATATGTATACCAAATTACACAGTAATTGGTTAAGCCATTAAGGCGCCAAGAGCTAGTAAACAAACTTACTTTTACATTTATAATACTAATAAGGATATATGGATACGAGACATATCCACAACATTTCGCATGGACTATTATAATCTTCCATTAACATATTAAATCTTGCAACAGGTAAGCTTTGAAAACATTACAAATATATTTAAAAATATAAAATAAATATATATTATATAAATATTCATTCTTCTTCTTCATTCTGTACCCAGTAAATTCACGCTATATGGGATATAGTGTGAATTCAAACCGAAACACAGCCATGCAAACACAACTGCTTCACGGTTGAAACACGAATAGGACAGAGGTACCCAAGCAATCGACTTTTGTACAAATTCTCCCTCTGGTCTACTTATTCTAGTATTACAAGAGGAATATGGTATAGAAAAGATTTTCTATAATTTTTGAAAATGTTTTACTAACCCTGCAATTAAAAATACTAATTTCTTTCAGATTTTTATATTTCCTTTTTTATATAAATTCGTTACTTTCTCAATTATTAGTAAAAAATAAATAAAAAAAAGTAAAGGTGAATTACCTTGACAATTCTGTTTACATTTTTAAGGACTACATTTTTACAATGCTTACGAAATTTATTAATGCAATATAAGTAATTATTGAATAAAAAGTAACGCAATTTTAAATTTATTAATACAAATTTGCATACACAATGTAACTACATATTTAATGGATCTAAATTTATGCCTAAATAATGAATTAAATGTTTATATTTTCGCAAACTTCCAAGGTTTATTACCATCTAGCGATCGTCTACAACTATTTCCGTACAGAAAAATTTGCATAATAAATCCGGTCAACAGGTTAATTAAATTACAAAATTGCATATTGAAGCTTTATTTTGCTGACAATTTATTAATTTACATAAATAAATTAATATCAATCAATCAATCAATCATCTTTATTCATATACATCTGTTACAGATACTTATGATACGTCAATCTATAATTATAATAATTACTATAGAAAATAATATTGATTTAAGAAAAAATGCAATAATTACATTTACAATACAATTCACATTAATACAAAATTCAAATCCATGCAGTTTTGTCATTTAAATAGTCATTTAATTTATAATATGCTTTTGTACAGAGAGTCCTTTTTATATATGTCTTAAATTTTCTTTCATTTAATTGTAAAACGTCATCTGGAAGTTTATTATAAAAACGTATACAGTTCCCCATGAAAGATGTACTGACTTTTCTAAGGCGATAACAAGGAACATTCAATTTGTTTTTATTTCTTGTATTGAAATTATGTATGTCACTGTTATTTTTAAAAAGATTTATATTTTTACGTACATACATAATGTTTTCGTATATATATTGCGAGCAATGCAACTTATAATCAACTACTATGCCAAGAAAAGTGGTTTTATCTACAAAGTCTAAATCCTGGTGGTCTAATCTAATAGCGGTATTCACTTGCTTAGTATTGGATATGGAAAATCTGATACATTTAGTTTTTTTTGAATTAAGTACTAGATTATTTGACGTAAACCATATCAAAACCTTAGACAAAGCAACATTTACATGGTCAAGGTTATGTGTATTTCTATTCACTTTAAACATTAGTGAAGTGTCATCAGCAAATAATACAATATCAGACAAATCTTGAACATGATACGGTAAGTCATTCATGTATACAAGAAAAAGAAAAGGACCCAAAATAGATCCCTGAGGCACACCCATTTCAATATAAGATCCACTAGAATTGACACCGTTTACTTCTACTATTTGAATTCTTGAATTTAAGTAAGATTTTAAGAGATCTAAAGACTTATTTCTAACTCCATAATGTTCAAGCTTCATTAATAAAGTTTTATGATCGACGCAATCGAATGCCTTAGAAAGATCACAAAATACACCAATTACATCTTGTGAATTCTCCCATGCACTGAAAATGCATTGCATTAAATTAATGCCGGCATCAACAGTGCATCGTCCTTTGTAAATCCATATTGTTGCTTGTGGAGTAAGTCACGTAAATTGAAATGGTCTAACATTTGTAGAAGAATTAATTTTTCGAAAATCTTACTAAATACTGGTAGAATTGAGATTGGCCTAAAGTTAGTAAGGTTTTCCTTATCACCAGACTTAAATAACGGCATTATTTTACTAACTTTCATTAGATCTGGAAACACTCCTTGATCAATACTCTTGTTAAATATTATAGCCAGATGAGGAGCAATTTCATTTATTACAGATTTCATTACCTTTACTGACATACCCCAAATATCTTCCGTATTTTTCAAATTGAGAGAGTTAAAGGCTTTTATTATACAAGAAGAATTTATGTAATGAAACCTAAAATCATAGATACAGGAACTCACAGTGTTTTTTAATAATTGTTTAGCTAAATCAGGTGACGAATTTAATGATTTTGTTGCTTTTAAAGGTATTGTTGAGAAAAAATTTTCGAAAACTTGAGCAACTTGATCATTTTTATCAACGATACCATTTTCAGTTTTCAGCCTATATTTTAACTGACGAGACTTTTTGTTACCTATTTCCGTGTTTATTATGTTCCACGTAGTCTTTATTTTGTCTTTAGATGTTGTAATTTTACGTTTTAAGTGAAGGATCTTAGCAGCGTTACACACTCTTTTAAATATTTTTGAGTAATTTTTCACATATTCAACAAAAATAGGTTCTTGCAAATAGCTCTTGATATCATACAGTTGATACATATTGTCTCTACTTTTTCTAATACCAAACGTAGACCATTCACTAAATTTTGAATTCTTAATCTTTGACTTCTTAATTGGAAAATTATTATCAAAATGCGATTTTACTATATTGAAAAATCGGTCATATAATGTACTAGGATTTATATTATTATCATCATACTTTAAAAAAGGTAGGCTTTCCTTTAATCTATCCCTGAATTTCTGCAATTTATATGCTGTTGTTGGTCTATAGAGTTTATAGGTATCTTCCGTAATTTCATTACATGTAAATGTCACACTTTGTCCGCAATGGTCCGAAGGTAAAGTATTTATAATAGATTTATTTAAAATATTAAAATTACAATATATATTGTCAATACATGTTGCTGTATTACATGTAATTCGCGTCGGTTCTAAGAAGACATGAACTAGACCAAAACTTTTAAACAAACTATTGATTTTTGTCTTCATAGGACTATCAATCAGAAGGTCTACGTTAAAGTCCCCGCATACTAATATAGATTTATTACTTTTAAATGCCAATTTCAGTACATCCTCCATGATGGACTCAAATTTGACGTAGTCTGAGTTTGGGGGTCTATATACACATATAATTATATATTTATCCAACTCTGTACATGAGATTTCAACAACACATTCCTTAGAAAGTGCTACTATATCTTTACGCTCTTTAACTTTAATATTTCTATTTACAAAAATAATAGACCCTCCTCTTATAGAGTTTTGTCTGTTGAATACACTCTGGATTTTATAATTCGGTATGTGAATTGACATGTTTGTCATTTTTA